GCTTTGCTTGGTGCTGTTCCTAAAGGCAGATCGCAAGTCTCCCTCTTGCTCACTGTCCAACGAGAGGATTGTGACACCAGCACCTAGAACATGAAGCGCCCTGGGTTCCAGCCCAGACTATCCCTCATGTGCTGTACTAGTCTGTCTTTGCCCTTTGGGGTCTCAGAAGCCTCCTTTCGTAAAACCAGGCCCCTGCACTCCCTGCATTAGGGCATAGCACACCCTACTCACCACCCCAAGAGAGCCAACATCTGGGCCTAGCCCAAGTAACACTGCAGGATAATGCGCTGGACCACAAGGTGGTGGTTCAAACCCACAAGCTGCTCCTATACAAGGTCACTATGAGTCAGAACTAACTCGACACCACTTAACAACAACAACAAAGTATGGGTGGGCTTTGAGCCAAAGTCCGGGAAGTTCATGCCCTCCTTCTGCTGCCAGGTAAAAGCTGTGGAGCTTCTCCTCAGTAGGGTCAGAAGCTCTGGAGGGGGTGGGGGTGGGAGGGTGGAGACAGTGCAGGCTGCCCTGTTGTCCAGACCCAGTGTCCTTGGGATCTGAACTCCCTTTTCCTCTCATGGAGTGGTTGACAGCACTGCCTCTGGCTGAATCCACAGCCTCCAGGACCAGGTGGATAGTACCCAGGGGGACCTCTCCCCAAGGTTCAGATCCTGCTCTGACCTCCAGCTGAACGGCAGCGTGCCTCTCTACTTAGCTCCTCCTCTGTACCTTCGGAGCTTGTATAGCAGATGGCTCCTTCACTGAGTAAATGTTCAATAAATACTAGTTCCCTCCCTTCCTCCCTCCTCCAGTGGACCCAAGTGGGCGGTGAGCAGGCACCCAGCCCTGGGGCCCCCATCCAGTTGCTGCACAGTCTGGCTCTGTCCTCTCTCCCCTCCCTCTGGCAAGCCTAAGCCACCTAAATCACCTGATTTGCTACCATGCCCCTGTTGCCTGCACCCACCTTTGCCCAGACTGTGTCCCCCAGCCCCAAGTCCTCATTGTCTCAGATTGATGTTTTACTGTGTTCACATTGGCACCCCTCAACCAAACTACACTGGGAGCTCTTGAGGGCAAGTACTCCAGGTGTGAATGAGGGCTTGTCCGCACCAGCCTCACCTGCTCCCTGAGCAGAACTCTTTATGCCCACATCTCCCTAGGACCCAGAGTCTTCATCCTGACTAGGGGTGGCCTAAATCAGCTCCCTCCCCATTTTGCAGCGCCCAAAAGAGAGATGCAGATAAGAGAGGCCACACAGAAAATCAGAAGCAGGTTCCCACTTCCCCAGCCTGGGCTCTCTCAATCCACCCCCCAGTATGCTTGTGTATTCTGAGAGCTCTCTCTGCCTACCCACCTCACACGCTGTGTATTCTGGAGGACTCTATGGAAGCTTAGAGGAGGCAAAAGGCTCCAAGCCTGCCAGGACCTCCACTGCCTGGGACTCTGACCGCTGCCTCTACCCAAAGGCCCTGTGGCTTTCCTTGGCCAACCTTTGACTTTAATGCCTGTTGATCCCCCATTAAACATGCACTGTGCCAGGATCTCTGGGAAGTGCAGCTGAGACAGGGTGGTCTGGTCTATCCAATTCTATAAAAAGGGCAGGAGCTGCAGCCAATTCTCTGAGGGCCAACTCAATGAGCTGTGGGGGAGGAGGAGCAAAGCTGGGATGAATTTGACCCTTTGTAGAACCAGGAAGATAGTCTGTTGAGGAGCAGGGTTCTTCATTGTAAGCATAATGCATGCCCACCTGGAGAACACAAAAGAGGGAGGAAAAGGGAAGGTGCTAGAGTGCTACAGGCCAGGTTCTGCTCTGGGAGGCAGAGGAGACTTCCATTCAGGCCTGGCCTCAAGGGGCTCTCAGAGTCTAGCGGGAAGCCCCTCAGGAAAGTCCCAGGAAACTGGGGGTCAGTTCAGGGGAGTAGTAAGTTCCCAGTGGGAGTCAGGGGAGGTCCCCTTAAAGGAGTATTTGTCCTGAGCCTTGAGCAAGAGGTTTTGGACCAAAGATGGGGGAACAGGCATTCCAGCACTGATAACTGTGTGAGCAATAGCAAAAGGGCTAGGTCCAGGGAGCTTGTACAGGGAGCTCACTGTGCTCCTCTGGGAGAACTCAGGCTGTGAGTCTGGAAGGATGCTGGGACCCTGAGGGAGGGAAGACCACACTGGGAGGTCTTGGCTGGGCTCACGGAAGCTGAGCAGGGCCCCTCCCCCACCCCTCCTCCTGAGGCCTGCCAGTGAGCTGCCAGTGCCCTGCAGTGATCAATAGGCGTGATTAGATTTAGAAGGTAATGGGGGGGGGGGGGGGGCTGGGGGAGGTGTCTAATGATCTTGGGTGAAAATTGGCCCCCTATGACTTTTTCCATCCCCTTCTGCAGCTGGTGAGAGGGAGGGGGACTTTCCATTTCCACTCAAATGGAATATGCATTTTCCAGTGAATCTTTTTCAATGCTTTTTATACCAAGGTGTTAGGGCTTTGTTTCCTGTGGAGAAAGGAGGTGTAGGAAAGAGACAAATGGGGAAGCATTCAGGTCCTGGATTTGCCCATCACCAGCTAGGTGCCTCAAGTGAGAACTGAATGAGAGCACTACAAGGAAAGGGCTGGACGCCATACCTAGCACACAGTAGGTGTTCCGTCAGAGTCAGTTCTGGATGCCAGCCCTGTTTTCTGTGCTCTGGCATCCCTCTCCTTCCGAGCTCACAGTGTCCTGCCATGTGACTTGTGATCTTCAGTTTCTTCCTATGTCAAATGCTGATGTTTAACAAGCCCTCTCCAAGAGAGCATTTCCTAAGCATGTTATTATGTTCATTTTTATAAAAAAAACCACTTGTTCTTGAGTTGCTTCCGACTCATAGAGACTCCACATTTGTCGAAGTAAAACTGTCCCAAAGGGTTTTCCATTTCTGTGAGCTTTAAGAACTAGATTGCCAAACCTATCTTCGAAGCAGCCTCTAGGGGGATTTGATCAGTTAATAGCTGAAGTCTTAAACATGTGTGCATGCCAAGGACTCTTATACTCATCAGGGTCACATGATGGGGCCTTGGTTCTCCGTTTGTGCTTCTTGAGGAAGAATCTTCTTGTGATGAGAGACACAAGGGCTGGACTGCTTGGTCTGGAGACCCTGTCCCCATCATTCCCAGTCTAGGGACATATAGCCATTGTCCCTCTATCCTGGGAGTGACAGAGGAGCCAGCTGAAATGCTCTCCATCTAAGACTCTTGGTTTTGAGATAGGTGACTGGGCTTCACACCCCCTCTGTGGGCCTTCAAGATTGGTTTACCCATTCGTGGATGGATACACAGATACTGATCTGCCTTGAAATAACTCGTTACAGAATGTCTGTCTGTCTGTCTGTAAAGCACTTGAATATTCTGAGATTCTGGAGCCAAGAGGCAAGAACACCACTGTCTCTCACCTCCTAGAGCTGGATATCACTCCGATCTTCCAGAAAAGGGGGAAATTGCTTAGGAATCGACTTCAACTCATGGAGACCTGTGTGTGTCAGTAGAATTGTACTACGTAGGGTTTTCAGAAAGAGATCACAAAGTCTTGCTTCCAAGGTGCCTCCAACCTTTCAGTTAGCAGCCAAGCATATTAGCCAGCACCTCCCAGATAGCTCTGGGTGAAAACTATCAGGTGGCCCTAAATGCTAGCGGGGTGCACTGGTGAGGTTTTTTCCAGCACTAACCATCCATTCACACCCTGGAGATAAAGGTGTGCGGGAGATAAAGAGTGTGCAGGTCTCCTGCTCACAGAGTGCTATCTGCTTCCCAAGCCAGGTCCCTGCTGCCCTCTGTGTCTGCCTTTGTTTCCCCCAGTGAGACTGCGGCTTCATTAAGTTCATTGTGTCTTATCTTCACTGCCACAAACTCTCCACAGTAACTTGGACAGGTCTCTCTCTGGCCATCATGGAGATGAGTTGTCCCATCTGCTTGATGGGGAGGGGTTTGCCACAGAGCAGGCTAAGCAACAAAAACTCTTGTCAAACAAAACCTGACACAGAAGCCCCAAAGAGAAAACAAATACAAATAGAGCTATTCTGACACACATCTCTCTCACTCCCTCAGCCCTTGGAAAGAATTACAGGGCTCTTGGGAACCCAGTTTGAGAAATGTAAAATTCTAGAAAAAGGATTCTTAATATTTCTTGCACCCTGAACCTCCAGGGAAGTCTGGTGTTCTGTACAAACCCCACTTGAAATAAGGCTTTGAAATGTATAAAATAAAACCAATCTTACTAAAACTGTTAAACAGAGTAGTTTAAAAAAAAAAACCAAAAAACAAGTGTAGGGTACACTGATGTAAATGTGCTGCCTCACTTGAAAGCTCTAGCAGTGGGTTAAATAATCACTTTAGTTGCAAAGTGGGGGTGAACTTGAGCAAGGCCTAATGCAGCTGTAAAATGACATGGAAAAGCCATGGCTTCTGATGATAGTGGCATCCGGGACACCACTAACACTCAAGTGTTTTGTCGGAGACATGCATAATGGGGAGAAATCCTAAATTTCAGTTCAAGATTTGTTAAGCTAAAGATGTGGTTTCTTCTCATCCAAGTACATCCACCCCTGAATTATTGTCACTGATTTTGGAGAGATGTGCATGAACTTTATGTTCAGCAATCCTGTCTAACACTAATTTGCATTCTTTTGCTGATTGCAGAATGAGATCTGGTTCTAGAGATTATCAGTAAGAAAAAGGGGGAGTGGGACGTAAGGTGGGGAGAGGAGATAACAGGGGGAGCAAGGCGGGGAGCAATCCTGCAGGACAAGGTAGTAGGTCTGGTGGGCCTGTAGCTGTCTCAGGGGCCTGAGAGTAGGTATGACAGTGTTTGAGCCCCAAACCCATCACAAGTCTCTCTCAAAATCATCTTCAAAAGACCCCACACATACAATATGAACCTTAACGAAGACCTCAGCATGCAAAGCTGACTGAGACTGCCTTCATTCCACTCCTTTGGGGAGGTGACTTTGGCCAATGCAATGATAACTTGACTTCATCTCCTTCCCAGGTACCCATGTGATGGAGGGATCAGGAAGGATGGTGGTGACCGCTGTGGGTGTGAACTCTCAGACTGGCATCATCTTTACCCTTCTGGGGGCTGGTGGCGAAGAGGAAGAGAAGAAAGACAAGAAAGGTCAGTCCACAGACCAGAAGAGGTGCTTTTAAGGCCACATTTTTTTGTTTATTCGTTCACTCAAAAAAATAATTATTGAGAGCCTTTTATGTCCACACCCTGTGCTGACAGCTGCCACCTGCATCCTCAGACCCCTGCTCAGGCCAGGCAGGCTCTGTCTGTTCCATCTCCAGGGTCTTGTCCCAGTCTCTGTCTTGTCCAGTCATGTCATGGAAGCTACTCCTTCACCTCCAGACCAGTCTAAGGGAACTGAGAGCTCAACTGAGTCTCCATTCTTCAGTAATTGAAAACCCCATCATCACCTCTTAGGTTGAGGAGAGCTCCCTGCCCAGCCATATTTCTTTCACTATTTTCAACTCCACTGAGCAGAGCAGAACATCCACCCAGCTTAGACCCATCCAAGACGTGGGCAGAGGAGACTCAGAAGGTCTACCACATGAGCCCTTTCTCTCATCCTCCGACAGTTGCAACTGGCCCCGGTTCTGCTCCCTACTCGCCTTCAAAATAAGATTCCTTATCCACTGGGCTCCTTTCAGCATTATCAGGCTGGCATCCCAGGCTAAGCATGCCTTTCAAATAGAGGGAGGGATGCCCAGAAGACACAAGAAGGTCAAATTCCATCAGGTCAGGCCCAATCCTAGACCCTAGTACAGCCAGCTCCATACCTAGAACCCACACTCAGTCTCAGGGAAAGTTCTCCCCCTCGTTTCCAGGTTTTTTGTCCTGCCTCCTCCCCTAAGCTCCAGAGGAGGTCCCCCGATACCCAGAAGTGGAAGGAAAATCAGGGCAGATGTCTCCTCCCTGAGTTTTAGGTGCAGTCCTGCTGCCTCCAGCTCTCAGATACCCATCGGGCACAGAATCAAGGGCAGAACTCATTTTCCAGTGGGGTCTCCCTAAGAAATATGGGAACTCAGCTGCGATCTAGAAAATCACGAGGCTAGAAAGAGCAAAGGGCGTGCCGAAGTGGAAACAGAGCTCACAGTCCTGGCCCTGAGTCCCAGAGGGTGCCAGGGAAGTCTGCACAGTAACATGAGAAGCTGTGGCCATAACAGGGTGCAGGCAGTTGGGCACTGTGCCCATTTCCTTGGTCTCACTGGAGCCTGGGTGAGGGACAGATGTACCCAGAACCTTTCCCAGATCAGACCTGTGTTTCTCGTAGCCCAATAGCATGACCCAGACTCACCACTAAGCTACACCTGCAGCCCAGTGGGTGGGCAGGGGACGGGATGGGGAAGTTGAAGACTCGGCCTTGTGTAGAAAGAAGTGGTGGGATGTGGAGAGGATGTGGCAGAGGAAGATGGGGTGGCCCAGCATCTTAGACCATGAGCAATGTGGACAGGGTGGGACCCTGGCCTCCCATCTCATCACCTCCACCAGAGACATTGCCTGGAATGTCAGCACCTACGTGTCCCCACGTCAGGATGCCCTGGGTGTGTGGGTGTATGTGAGTGCTTACATGTGTGCGTGTGTATGCAGATGAGGCTGCATGTGCTTCTCCTTCATTAACATGTCTCAAAAATCATCACACAGGTGTGAAGAAGGGGGATGGCCTTCAGCTACCAGGTACAGTAAGACCCCCTCAGGGTAGATGGGTCTCTTAGAACTAGCAGCAACCTTTGACCTCAGGGCCATGCCCTGTAGATTGCCAGCACACAACTGGAGAGGGTTTCATGACCAAAGGAGGGTCCACCTGGCCAGACCCCATCTGTGCCCTTGAGGGATGACAGTATTGCACTCTGCAGACTTGGCCTCACAATGTGTCCCCTACTGGCACCCCGACTGCCACCCGCCCCCTCAGCACACTGCATCACTCATGCCACACAACCCTGGACCCTCTTGTCCCCTCAGCACCACCCACAACCACATGGCGTGTCCACCTCGCTCAACAGTGTGTCTCACCAGCATTGTCCCCTGCTCTCACTCCACAGATCCTTTTCCTTTCCCACCAAACTTGGCCATGTCACATAATTTTTAAGGAAACTCACTAGTACTTTTTCAATATGCTTGATGCCACCTTTTCCATGGCAAGACACCTTGTGCAGGGGTTTCCAAGGCAACCTTTGGAATGCTGGTTAGAAGAGGTGGAGACTGTAATGACCTCTCAACAAACACAACTGGGGGGCATGTGAAACCTGTAAGGTCCTCACCATTGGCGGTCAGCAGGCTGATGTTCTACTGGAACACAGCCCTACATGTTACTGGTGGTCATGGAAAATGCCACCACTGTATTGGTTGTTGGGTATTTTAAAATAACTCCTGGTCACTGACCCCTCTGGCTCCAGTGGGCATCCAGCCCCTTTCTTCATGTGAGCCCTCTCTCAAGGGGGAACCACTCAGTTGGCTGAGCCAACAGGATGCTGAAGTCTAGACCTCAACACAGAGCAGTGCCATCTCACCTGACTTTGTTGATCATCCTTCATGTTTGATTTCAAAGACCCTCCATGCCTGAGTTTTCCCTCAACTTTTGTGGCATCTCGATGGGACCATTCCATTCCCCAAATTTGTGTTTCTTGATTTCCCGCAGAAATTTGTTTTTTTAAGACAATAGTCATGTTATTTATTTCCTTGCCAGTTGGTTCATGTCCTTATTATTGTTGCTGTTCTGCATTGTTCCTTTCCTCCATTGTGACACACTGCATTTTCCATCCCTCCCACCCCACTGCAGCGGCAGACGGTGCGGCAGGTTCAAATGCTGCAGATAGTGCCAATGCCGGCCTAGTCAATGGTATGTCTCCGATGTCAAGCTCTCGGTCTTGGTTGGATGGGCATCTCTCTCCCCACCCCAATTCTGGGCTTTCCTTTCCCTCTTCTGGACTGCACAGATCTCGGATGTGCATGGGCAGCTCTGGGACAGTCATCCTCTCACATGGGGCAGGCGCTTAAGAGAGGAGCTACGTCTGGGGAATCAAGATGCTGCCCACTTGCGGCTTCCAAAATGGCGCTGGATCCTGTTGGGCCCTTGACCCCCAGTGGAGCCCAGAAGAGGGACATGACTTTGGCTGCAGATTTGGCCCTCAAGAAGCAGCATCCTGCCCGGCGTGCCCTCTCCTAAGCGCGCTCCTGGCCCCAGCTTTGGGGAGAAGGCCTGGGGTCAGGACTGGGCTGAAGCTGGCATCTGGGTCCCCGGCGAAGGATCCAGTCCTCGCCTCTCAAATTCCCTCGAGACAGTGGGACCCGGGCCTGGGTTCAGCTCCTTGGCCCCATCCCGTAGCATGGCTGAGCCACTGGTAGACATTTCTTCCTCTTCTCTCTCACAGAGTGAACGGGCAAGGGGTTCGCTTGGGCTCGGGCCAAGTTCTGCCCCTCGGATGTGGACTGGTGTTTCTCGCTGTTGCCTGTGCTGGAGCATTTGCCCTGGGTCTCTGCATTCTTACTGGACCTTCGGTTGTGGTGGGTGGGTGGGGAGGGCTGCCACCGTGCACACGGGTTCTGCATCTTACCCTCCTTATACACAAGCAGGAAGGAATTCCATCCACTTGCCTCCAACCAAGCCTTTAGAAAATTCTTGATTTCTACACCCTCCCATCTCCAAAGCAAGTCTTCTCTTTATTAAGATATCACCCCTGTCCCCCATATAAATAGCAGCATAGTAACCCAGGCTGTTCCTGGGGTCAATCATGAAACCATAGCCCCAGAGAAGCTAGCAGAAAGAATGAGTCTCTGTTTTATCCCAGTATCACCACACACTAGGAGCAGGGCTACTGGTGCCCCTCCTCCCCCCCCCCCCCCCCATTATACAATTTACTCCTCACCACTCTAGCAAAGTTCTGGTAGCATAGTGGTTAAGAATCGGGTTGCGAGCCGCAAGGTCAGCAGTTGGAAACTACCAGCTGTTCCGCGGGAGAAAGATGAGGCGTTCTGCTCCCAAAAAGATTTACAGCCTCGGAAACACTGTACAGGGTCGCTATGAATCAGAACCGACTCCACGGCACATAATAACAACAACAACTCTAGCAAAATATGGAAACTCTTGGCCTTCCTTTCCCCCTACTCCCCACCCAAGGCCTCTGGCTGAGCCACCTAGACTCAAAGTGACCCAAGATTGGCAGGGCCTAGTGTGTGCCATGGGCTGGGCAAGACACTTCTGCAAACAACCGCACCATGGAGGACTGATTCGGGTGCAGTCTATTTCAGACTCAGGAGGAGGAAGGAGGACAGCTTGGGGTGTGGGAGGTGTCATGCATCAGGGTGAGGTGGCTGAGGGATGACAGGGGATGCTGCAATGGGCAAGCCCACGGCTGCCGCAGAAGGAAACAGGAGGCAGGCTCTGGAGAGATATAGACCCCAACTCCAGAAAAAAGAAACTGCAGGGAAGATGGGGCCCTTTAAGTGTTTGATAACCTACTGTGTGCCAGTTCATGTACATTGTCTCATCTAATCCTCACAACAACCCTACAGGGTGGGCTTTATTACTCTCACTTTAAAGATGAGGAAACTAAGGCTCAGAGAAATCAATACACTAGCCCAAGGTCATAGGGCTAGAAAGCAGCAGAACTGGGATTTGAACCCAAGTCTGACTGAGTCTAAAGTGCATGCTTCTCCTCCCAATTTCAGTGAGTGTTTTGTAAGTTTCACAGAGATATTAAGATGTCTGTAGTCCTGGTGTGCCGCTGTAGGAAAAGCACTGGACTGCTAACCAGCAGGTCAGCAGTTCAAACCCACCAGCCACTCTACAATAGAGAGGATGCTTTCTGCTCCTATAAAGATTTACCTCCTTGGATACGCTGTATAGGGATGCTGTGAGTCAGAACTGACTCAGTTGTAGTGAGTCTGGTTTTTATTTTGTTGTTGTCTTCTTCTCTGTGGAGCCCCCATGGTGCAAAAGTTAACTGCTTTAGTAAACCGAAAGTTTAGCAGTGTGAAGCCAACCATCAGCTCTGTGGGAGAAAGACCAGCCAGTCTGTTCCTGTAAAGATTACAGCATAGAAAATCCAATGGGACAGTTCAACTCTATCACATGGGATTGCCATGAGTTGAAATCAACTCAAGGACACTTTATAACAACATCCCCCACTCTAAACACTGGAAACGGCAAGGAAATAGATTCTTCCCTACAGCTTCCAGAAAGACTGCCAACTCACTTTAGACTTCTGACTTGCAGAACTGAAAGATAATAAATCTGTCTATTGTTTAAATGTTTTGTTTAATGAATAAATTTAGAAAGAGATCTTGCCCACAAAGAAAGGGTTCTATGATCAAATAGGCTTAAAAATCACAGCATTGAATGGGTCACAGCATTGTTAAGTCATTACAGGACTTATCAGAGTCTTGAATATTGCTGGTGTCTGCTGGACTTTATGGAGTCCTGGTGTGGCACTATGGGTTAATGCGCTGGACTGCAAAGTTGTTTGAATCACAAGGTCAGCAGTTCAAGTTCACCAGCCGCTCTTTGGAAATCCTATACAGGGTCGCTATGAGTCAGAACTGACTCCACAGCATGTAACTACCACCACACCATGGGATTTCCAAACATAGTTATTTCCTTGCAGAATCTCGTGGGATTGGTATACCCAGTAATATATTTTGAGAAACAATGCTATTCCAGTGTGGTCTGAGGACCAAAACCTTCCAGCATCTTAGGCCCTACTCCAGCCTGGTTGGATGAGAATTTGCATTTTTACTGTTCTTTAAAGGTCAGCTTGAAGGCACTTAACAACAGTAAAGGTTGAAGCACTAGGTGGAACCTTAATAAGTTAAGTAAGAACTAATTGAGGGCATCTTTCCTCTGAGTCACCTCATGATGGGTTGGTTATTGAAAATAACTTGGAAGGCTGTAGTCCCTGAGTCCACAGTTCAATCCAAGCCTGCAGCTGAACAATGGGTCTATTCCATTTGTTTTGAGTATTATGTTCCCATTATTGTTGTATTCTTTTACTTTACATCTCCACGATTACAGTTAAAAGTTATCCAGTCAACCCTGACTCTTAGAGACCTAGTGTATGTCAAGTAGAATTGTGCTCCATTGCTGATTTCAGGGAAGTGAGGGGGGGGGGGGTTGATTGCCAGACCTTTCCTCTGAGGTACCTCTGGGTAAGCTCAAACCTTTCAGTTGACAGCTGAGAGGACAGGTCATTTGTTTGCAGCGGCCAGATATGCCACTCTTATCACCTGGCATTTATGTAAGTGTCTTTGCACACTATCCCACAAGGTATTTGTTATTGCACCCATTTCACAGAGGAGGAAATGGAGGCTCAGAGACCAGAAAAGCCAGCTCCCAGGTGCTTCAGACAGTATCAGTCTCTTCAAAGCTTGTTAATCAAGCCACATCAATAGGAGTCCTCAAAGATGTTGTTTTCTCATCTGTGTCCCTGGGAATGTGCTGAAAATGGACCGATTTGGAAAATCTGCAGCTGGAATGGGATACAGAAAAGAGATCCAGACACACCCTTCCCCCACCACCACCCCCACAAAAGGCCACTGCTGCTGGGTTGATTCAAAATCATAGCAACCCCGTATGGCAGAGTCGGACTGCTCCTTATGGTTGCCAAAGCTGTAAAATAAATCTTACAGAAGCAAATAACCTCTTCTTTCTCCCATGGAGCAACTGGTAAGTTTGAAACCCTGACCTCAAGGGTAGCTGTCTGATGCTTAACCCACTCCTTCCACCAACCCTGTTGAGTCGGTTCCAACCCATAGCGACCCTGTACAGGGTTTCCGAGGCTGTAAATCTTTACAGGAGCAGAAAGCCTCATCTTTCTCCCGCAGAGCGGCTGGTAGTTTCAAACTGCTGACCTTAAGGTTCGCAGCCCGATTCATAACCCCTGCACTACCAGGGCTCCTTTTCCACCAACCCCAGTTTCCCTGAAACACAGCCTCTAGGTCCCACAAGGGATACTTGGGACCAGAGCTGGTCTCACCATGGTTCAGAGACAAAGGGAGCACTTTTGTCTGGTGGGGAAGAGCCCCAAATAAATCTCTTGCTTCTAAAAAACCAGGCCATCTGCACCCAAGCACCCCCAGAATACTGCTCCCTGGTGATTATATTTCTGGCCACGTGGTCATTGTGGAAATAAAAGAGGAAATTGCTAGCTTGGTTTAATGGGCACTCACAGCAGATAATATGCAGATAAAGGCTCCTTTGTGCCTCAGAAACCAGCTATTGACGCTAGGGTCCTCAGGTACCCTATAGCACAGTTAGTAAAGTGATTTTAAAAAATAAAAATAATTGTTGTAATTCAGTCCTGCTGGCTCACAAAACCCCCTTTTATGTTTTGTTTTTCAATCTAGTAAAAAAAGAGTTTTACAATAAAGCAATCAGGACCTTTCCCTTGAAGCCCTGTGGGTCTCTGACCCTTTGCAAGGAGGGGATGGCCACCAAGTCTTAGCACATGATCAGGGTTCACTCCTCCCCTCTGAGTCTCCTCCCATAAATGGGCGTGGAAATAGTATCTATGGAAATAGCACAGCCGTAAGCTTACTGTGAGGGTTAACAGTTTAGAAGGGACGGGAAGCACAGTCCCCAGGAAGAAAGGTCACCTGGGATGGGGAAGCTGACAAACTGCAGAAAGCTGCATGTGATTATTATCACTGACTTTCAGGACTCTGGGAGGTAGAAACAGCACAGGGACCTCAGGGGTCCAGTCCCAGCACTGGTGCCCATCCCTGAGCTCAGAGTGGACTCCCACTATACCTCCAGGACTGCTCTCCATCCACCTGCTTTGAGCCTCAGTTTCTCATCTGTAGATACAAATGGGCTTCAAAAACTTAGTGGAGAAATAGAATTGAATGATACTGGAGTTTTTCCAGGAGCTTTGTACCACTCACTGGTTGGTGTAATTAGGAGCATACAGTGTGGGTTAATGCATCAGACTGCAAAGTTGGTTTGAAGTGCAAGGTCAGTGGTTCAAGCTCACCAGCCGTTTCCTATACAAGGCCGCTATGGGTCGGAATCAACTTGACAACACTTAGCAACAGCATTGTAGGGATGTGGTGAGGAGGACTCCGGGAGACTGCAGGAGGTGAATAGTGTGGGACATGCACGATGCCTTCTAGTGCCCAGGAGCCTGGATGATCTGTTTTGAGGGTAGTCAATTTTCTCAAATTCCTTCCCCAGGGAGCATGTCCAGGCAGGGCCCCAGAGTGCACATGGGGCCCAGTGGACAGCCGGAGCTCTTCTCTGAGAGTGACAGGCTGTTCATGAGGCAGCGATCATCAATTCCTCCCACACTGTAAACTGGGTTCCCAGGCAGCCTGATTAGAGCTGGAGACCCCCAGTGTGGGGAAATGAAGTGGACATATTTTCTTACCCTCTGTGACCCAGTAAGCTCCAAATTCAGGCCCTTCCTCAGCTAGGTGAGCCCACTGGCCCCCGCCTCCCCGTCTCTTTTAGCAAGCCCATCAACCTCAGAATCAGAGTCCTGGTGTGGCACTGTAGGTTAATTTGCTGGACTGCAAAGTCAGTTTGAACCAGAAGGTGGGTGGTTCAAACTCACCAGCCGCTCCTCGGAAACCCTATACAGGGACACTATGGATCAGAACTGACTCAACAGCACTTAACAACACAGCAACAACCCTACATTGAGGGTGCAGCAGTTTCACTTGGGAGGCAGGATGTACCCACCAAGTCCCCTGGACACCTCTGAGCCCGTTACCAAGGCCACTCTCACTGAGGCTTTACACCCCTTCTGAGGAAGAAGGAGAACGTAGAGCAAGCCCTTCTAGAACCAGAAACTAAGTACTCTTCCTGTTCTAGAATCTAGCTTGTCTATCTGTCTGTCTATCAATCTCACTTTGGATTGTGTTTGCATGTTTTTCTTTCCCAGAAAATGACAAGTTTTTCTTTCCCAGAAAATGTGTGTAGCTGCACAAGTGTCCCTCTGCCTCCTCTCTGCCCACAAAAAGGCAGCAACCAAGTCAACCACTAAAAGGCTTGACCTGGGTGCTGCTAGTACCCTCTCCTTCATCCTGCCAGCAAATTCTGGTTCTTTTTCCCACAAATGCTACCCTTTAGTCTGGAACAAGCTATGGGCCAAAATAATGCAAACCCAAGCCCTGTCCCCTCACCTTGCTCAGAGGCCAGTGCTACAAGGACCCCAGTAAGCACAGGCCTCCCCAGTACAAGCCATGCCCTTGATTGTGGTACCACCTCCTTCCTCCATCTGTGACTTGAATGTCCGTGGCCCTGTTTCGTCTTTGTGATGACCAGCGTGTGCTGTCTGTTCTCTGTTGTCTGTTAAAATTCTTTGTCGTGTAGGTAAAATGCAGGATGGCACTGTGGACGCCAGCCAGAGCAAAGGTAACCGTCTCTATTAACCGCTTGCGGTTTCTGCAGTCCCTCCCCTCTGGTTCTGAGTGTCACATGAGAAGTAGGCATATGCACACTGTGGTGACCAGCATCTGTGTGGAACACAGTCGTGCTGCCCACGGTGTTGGGCCTAGTGGAACACTATCGTCCACAGAGGGGGCATCATTACAGGCCACTCACTCCTCAGCCTGCCAGCTCAGTCCAGTTCACTGAAGCCTTGAGGCTAGCTTGCTGAGATCCCTAGAAGACAAGGAGTAGGAAGTCTAGTCCAGTGTCTGTCCTCCAGTCAGTCCTGTGCCGAAGAGGCCACTCCAGCTGGAGATGGGCAAGGCCTCCATTTTTGTCCCTCCTGTCTAGTGGCTACTTCATTTCCCAAGAACTTGGCTCCAAGGGTGGAACTCAAGCTGTCTGTCTTGTCTAAATGTAGGAAAAGCCAAGGGAACAATTGAGGTGGGGTCTGTGGGTTCATTCAGGACCGGAGGGTGGAGCTGTGTCATTCCTTGCTGGAACTCAGGACATCCAGCTGAAAGAGTCAGACCCCCATCCCAGAGTTTCTGTGCCAGCCATGCATGGGACCCAGAGTAGAGCGCCAGCTCCCTACTTCAGGCAGGGTTGGGTGTCACCATCCCCGCCCTGCAGCCTGACCTGTGTGCGTCTGTCTGTGCGTATGTCTGTGTGTGCACATGTTGCGTGCTCTGCCCCTGCAGCCAAACAGCAGGATGGGGCGGCCGCTATGGAGATGCAGCCCCTCAAGAGTGCCGAGGGTGGAGACGCAGACGACAAGAAGAAAGCCAACATGCACAAAAAGGAGAAGTCTGTTCTGCAGGGCAAGCTCACCAAGCTGGCAGTGCAGATTGGCAAGGCAGGTGAGTGTGCCAGCCACGGTGGGAGGCCGGGGGCAGGGTCCACAGTGGGCCTCAATTACCTCAACCACAAAATGGGGAGCATGTGTGAGAGGGTCCCCAAGGCCCATCCTTCCCCGCCGTAGCTACTGATCTTCGATCTTCATTCTCTACACAGCAGGACCTCAATTGTGCTTAGGTCCAAAAAGCCTGGGCCCTGGGAGCAGACAGCTGCATTTTTGTCCAGGTGTAACTGAAAACTTGAGCAAGTAACTTCACATAACTCTGCACCTCCAATTCCTCATCTGAAAAATGGGAATAGCAGGATACCTGTTTTACTGGGTCACAATGAGTATTAAAGGCAATTCTGTACACCCAAGAAGGCCAGGGGACAGACCATACAGAGCCTAGAGTTCCTGACAGCCCCAGTTTTATCCTGAGAACAGTAGGAGCCAAGGAGGAGTTTTGAGCAGGAGAGGGCAAGAATGAATTTGGCTTCATAATAACAGCTGGCTGCAGAGCAGGGATTGAAGTGTCAGGGAGAAGTCTGTTGTTTGAGCCTTAGCACAAGGGATCTGGTAGCTGCAAGCAGTGACGGTGGTACCACTGTAGCCCAGGAGGCCAAGCCCACCTGCAAGATGAACCCCACCATGGCCTAACTTTGGCCTCCCAGCCCTGGGAAGGTGCCTGCAAATGCCAAAGCCTCCCCACCTAGCCACTCGCTCCTCTGTGCTGTCTCCCAGCTCTAATTATAGGCACCACTGCGTGGGGAAAGAAGGCAAATTACAGGCTTGGGTGCCTATATTTAAACTCAGAGCCTGGTGACAGCTCCCGGCTGCTGGGAGCCTGGCTTCCCACCCCTGCAACTGTCAGACTGAATGGAGCAGTTATGAGGCCCTGCTGTTAGGTTGGGGGTGGGGACAGATAGGCCAGGGATTTCCTCCTCCTGGCCATCACAGCCACAGGCAGAAGACGTCACTGAACTAACAACAGGAACAACTTGTGGCCTTCAAAGTCCCTACTCATCTCCCTCCTTACCAAGAACGGGGTCCACAGTCAAGCAATTCTGGATTCACATCCAATCTCAGTCTCCCTTTTGGGACTGAATTCTTTCAAAGAAGAGCCTTAGATGGGTGAGCAAGTTATTGTGGGGTGGAGGGACTCTAGTAGGACCTGGTAAGGATAAGAGGAGCCAGACAGGACCTGGGAAGAAGCCAGAAAAAACGGAGATTCCAAGAGAAACCCCTGCCCCAGGCTGACCCCACAGGAGGTTGAAGCTCTGGGACACGACCAATCCTACCCATGAGGCAAAGGGGTTCAGACTCTGTACCTCCATCAGCCATTGAATATTGCCCAGCAAACTGAGATTGCACTCCCAGACATTTCCTGACAGGGGTTCTAATCCTCTCAGCACACCCTCCAGAGGAGGGAGTTGCAGATGAGCAGCTCCCAGCAACACCTGTGGCATTTATGTAGGTGGCGGCAAGCACAGCCAACTGGCCAGCGTGACCTGGCCTGTCCCACCTGTGCCTCCTACAGCTACAGTAACTCACTGGTCTGTGGCCTTGGACAGGGACCTTCCTCTTTTAGTCTGTTTCTTCATCCCCAAAAAATGGCTACCGGCTGCTCAAATATCTCCTCCTGGCCATACTGACGGGTCTGCTCAAATATCTCCTCCTGGCCATACTGATATCTTGGGGTACCTCCCGTTGCATCATCCTGGAGTGTTTCTTTTTAACATTTATCTGTACTCAAATTATGTTCATGTGTTTGTTTATTTGCTTGTTGTCTGCCTTCCCCTCTAGAATGTCCAGGGCGGGAACTCTGTATCCCAAGTTCCTAGAATAGGAATTACTGTGTCCCTGACACACATAATATCTATTGAATGAAAGCCCAAATTCGTGATAACAGCTAACACCATTATTGTGTGAATGGTCTATGCAAACAATCCTTGGGTATTCATATGGTGAACACCTGCTGTGTGTCAGGCACTGTTCTGAGCACTTGATCCTTACAAACCAAAATGAAGTCACCGTGCAACCCCAGTATGTTGTTAGTTGCCATGGAGTTGGGTCTGATTCACAGTGCCCATATGTACAACAGAATTGAACAGTGCCCATGCGCCAGCTTCATGATCTTTGATATGTTTGAACCCATCGTTGCAGCTTTTGGGGGGTTTCCCTGGTTTGTGCGGCCACTCTGCTTTACTGAACATGAAGTCCCTATTATGAGAGGAGGAAACTTAGACTTTGTGACTAGCCAGGCCTCGCTCAGTCACAATGCCAGTGAGTGACTGAGCTAGGATGTGAGCTCTTGCTGCCAAAGATAAGCACCGCTCTTCCTCCCCAGAGTGCCCCATCCTCGAGGGTCCCCCTGAGCAGCTCTCCCCGCCTTGCAGGCCTGGTGATGTCCGCCATCACGGTCATCATCCTGGTGCTCTACTTCACCGTGGACACCTTCGTTGTCAACAAGAAGCCATGGCTGCCCGAGTGCACTCCCGTCTATGTGCAGTACTTCGTCAAGTTCTTCATCATCGGTGTGACCGTGCTGGTGGTCGCAGTGCCCGAGGGGCTCCCGCTGGCTGTCACCATCTCATTGGCCTACTCAGTGAAGGTAAGAAAGGAAAGCAGGCAGAGGCCCTGCCTTAACTGGGATGGACTCCTCCCACCTTGGGACCTGTGGGGTAGCCAGTGGGGTCAGTGGGGAGAAGAGCTGGTGAGAGAGAATGTCTGAAGGAACTGAAAACTCAGTGCTTTCAGGGGACCTGTAGCTTGGCTACGGGATCAGCCGCTACCAGCCCAGCCATGTGTCATTTGCAGATATGCAGGCCACGTTTTGCCAAATCTTAACATTTTTCTCGACAAGCCAGGATTCTGGAGTTCCTTATACTGTCGTTAACTGCTATCACGCCGGCCACAATTTAATGACTCCCTGCCTAATGGGATTGGGCTCTTAGGGTTTTCATTGACTGAAATCGGGTCTTTTTAACTAGTCCATCTTACTCTAGAAGCTTCACTGAAACCTGTTCAAAATCATAGAAACACTTATGTCTCTACTGGCAAGATGAGATGGCTGTGCTTGAGGGGCACGGGCTGAGATCCAACCTGGGTCTCTTGCATGCTAGTGCTAGCCGAAAGGTTGGAGGTTTGAGTTCACTCAGAGGCCCCTTAGAAGAAAGGCTTGGCGATCTACTTCTGAGAACTCAGTCATTGAAAACCCTGTGGAGCACAGTTCCACTCTGACGCACATGAGTCAGAGTTGACTTGAATATAAACTCTCCCTAAAATAAAAACCCCAGTGGATGCTGACTGGGGGGTTTAAATACTAACAATCAGCTCAACTTTGAAAAAAGAAAAATGTAGACCTCACTGTGCAAGCCAAAATCCAACCCACCCCCTAAATGTAAGTAGGAATCTGGCCACCAAAATCATAAGTCCCAAAGCTGCAGTGTTTGTGCAACTGATTTAAAAGTTCCTCCTAAAACTTTGAAAGAAATAAGTCTAAAGCAAAAGGCATTCTGATTTTATGGAAACCCTTCCTACTTGGGATATGGGCTGAAAAGAGATGATTTCTTTTCCTTTGTTTTAGCATATTTAATTTACTGAGATGACTTTGTACAGGTCATCCATTTAAAGTGTACATTTCAGTGGTTCTCAGGGTATTTTCAGGATTGTGCAGCCATCAGCACTGAAAACATGAGGGTTGTTTTTTGTAGGCAGGACCAATGATTGTAAACTGAAAGGTAGAGTTATCTGAGAGAGATTCCTAAAGCCCACGTCTCTGGCACTGGGCAAAGCATCTGGCACTGGGCAAAGCATCCTAATTCCTCAGGGCACTTACTTCAAGCCCAGAGTGCCCACTGGTTCACTTTCTTCCCCCACCCTCCCATGGTTCCCCACCACTGAAGGCAGAACCCTAAACTGTGGTTCCTCAAGGTAGCGGTGGCCCTGTTTACAAACAAGGTGCTCACCCTGAGAATTTGGCAGCATTGCCACCGAGAACACAGTGCATGTCGGTTTCCACGCCGGAATTTGGTCTGGGCTCGCTGATGTAATTTCATACAGAAAAGAGATCTCCCAGCAGCTGCCAGAAATGGCAGCTCTGGGTAAAGGAGACGGTCCTTATCGTCTCCCTGTTTTAGGGTTCTTGAAGAAAATCCACCTTACAAAGCAAAACCCAAGCAGGTCACAGCACAGTGGACCTCAGGGGCCTGGGGCCCAGAGAAGGCCAGCAGGGGCCACACCAAGTTGGTTTCAGGGAGTCATGTGCAAACACTGCACTCTGCAGTTCTCATGCTGACACTGGTGGCTTCAGTTATCTTAGGTAGTGTTACCTGTGTAGTCACTTGAGGTGTGAAACCCCACTCCAAGAGAGACAAATTGTTCCCTCTCTGAGTCTGCCCCTGCACTCCTGGGGCTACCTTCTACTGAAAAGGGGTAGCCACATAGAGAGACAGAGTGCAAACCAGCTGTGTGGTTTTACATCTCCTAGTAGCCATGCTGGGGTCCTGGTGTGGCGCAGAAGGGTAAGCACTGAACTGCTAACCAAGAGGTCAACGGTTCATATCTACCAGCTGCTCCTAGGATTACTACACAGGATTACTGAGTCAGAACCAACTCAACAGCACTTAACAACAACAACAGTACTCGTGTTGGGCTCAGTGGTAGAATTCTCACCTCCAGTGCATGAGACCCCAATTCAGTTCCCAGCTAGTGTCCCTTCTGTCTGCTACTGGAGGCATGTGTGAGGTTTCAGTGGAGCTTCCAGACTAAGACAAGGAAGAACAACCTGAAGATGTAGCTCTAAACATCAACCCATGAAAACCCTATGGATCAGAATCACATGTCTGATCCACAACCAGCCATGGGGATAGCATGGGATTGGGCATCGTTTACTTCTGTCGGTTATGGAATCACCATGAGCCAGGAGTTGTTTAGATGGGAGCCAACAGCAACAGCAAATCATGTGTCCCCCCCCCAAAAAAAAAGAAGCAGGTGAAATTCATTTTAATAATATAATTTACTTAATCCAATTGCTATTATTATTGTTAAGTGCCATCGAGTCAATTCCAACTCATAGCAGCCCTGTAGAGGGTTTCCAAGGAGTGGCTGGTGAGTTTGAACCACGAACCTTTCAGTTCAAACTGACCTTGTGGTCCAGTGCATTATCCCACAGCGCCACACCAGGACTCCACCATATTGGATAGTGAGATTTTTCAAAAACCTTAATCCCTGTTCAGAGAGTACAGTGGGCTGAGACCCAATGCAGTGTGCACAGATGTAAGGTTAAACAGACCTGGGTCCAAGTCCTGTTACCTGTGTTTCTTCAGTTGCCCAACTACAAGAATCCTTGTAGATCTCAATGGACTCTTAGAACATCAAGCAAGAAAATAAATGCAGCAGGGTTTTGGAAACTACAAATGTATGGCAGTTTCATATTGTTGTTGGTCATCCATTCAACATACATCTGTTGTTACTATTGTCACAAGTTATAATAAGAGAAACCACAATGACATATAGTCCTACCAATATTCATTTTGTAGTAACGTTGTTGTTGTTATGTGCCGTGGAGGCGGTTCCAACTCATAGCGACCCTGTACAGAGTTTCTGAAGCTGTAAATCTTTACGGGAGCAGGAAGCCTTATCTTTCTCCCACAGAACAGCTGGTAGTTTCAAACTGTTGACCTTGCGGTTCACAGCCCAATTCGTAACCACTACAGTACCAGAGCTCCCTTTGTAGTAACATAGACCTCTATTAAAACTATGCTAATTACACTCCGTTTTTGCCCTTACTAAAAAGAGGTAACAGGAATAGTAGTAATACAGGAAATCACATTCCTAAGCACAAACTTGGCTTCTGGAAGCTTTACATGTTCTCATCTTACCAGGTTGGGTCATTATATCAACAGGGCCTGCACGCATCCAGAATGATGGTTTCCTGAGAATTTTTGTATTTGTATTATTTACTTGAGAACCTGCAAGAAGCTAGGGCTTCCAGAGTGAAGGCAGACAGAAAAGAAGGCATATAAAAGAAATTAAATAATATGTATAGTAGGATTTCGAGGAGCCCTGGTAACATAGTGATTATGAATCGGGCTGTTAACCTCAGGGTCAGCAATTTGAAACTACCAGCTGTTCTGCGGGAGAAAAGGCTTTCTGCTCCCGTAAAGATTTGTTGTTTTTGTTAGGTGCCATCAAGTCGGTACCAACTCACAGTGACCCTTTGCACAAGAGAACAAAACACTGCCCGGTCCTGGGCTAACTTCACAATTGTTGCTATGCTTAAGCCCATTAATGCTGTTGCCACTTCGTCAATCCATCTCACTGAGGATCTTCCTCTTTTTCTCTGATCCTCCACTTTACCAAATACGATACACTTCTCCAGCAACTGGTTCCTCCTGATAATAGGTCCAAAGTATGAGAGATGAAGTTTGGCCATCCTGGCCTCTAAGGAGCACTCTGGC